CTCTCTTTCTCTCTCACGCACACACACTTCCATGTTTGCCCCACCTGCCTGCCCTGCAGCACTCTTTGCCGTTGCTCATATGAAAGTCCGGGAGCCCTGGCCTCTCCTCTCCCAGGTCGGCACTTGGTAATTACAGTGTGTGTCCCGCCCTAATGATAGCACAGCCATGCGCCCTGTTCCCTAAATGAATGAGACCTGGTCTAGTCCATTTTGCTTCGTGATAGACTTTTCTGCTGGGGCAAGTGTTTGCTTAAGGTAATCATAGCCTTTTACCCCAAATCTGCTGAAGCGCGGAGGACTGGGGAGGCTAGCGTGTGGCTGTGGTCAGGAGACTGCTTACCTACCACCCCGCCTCCCTCCTGTGGCCAGAGGTTGTGCCCCTACATTGGGTATTCTTGTCTTCCAAAAGGATATGATTGTAGGCTAGTGGGGGCAATTTATACCAATTTTTTTCTTTTTCTTTAAAGGGAAATAGTATCTAAGGAGCTGATTTACTTTGATCTCCAGGTTTAACACAGATCCGGTAACATCACACGTACAGACTAACTTGTTACATTCCTCCCAAAGGACAAGTTTAACCTGGCAGATTAAACCTCCACGTGTCTTGTTAGGGGGGGAAATCCCTTCAACTGACACTGACAGGTGGTTTCTTTAAAAGTTGATACAAGAGTTTGTCTCTGTGGATAAACTGGTTCCTGGCAGTCTCCAGCCTCAGAAAAGTGATCTAGGACCTGAAGGTCACCGATGGTGGTTGACCCCCTTCAGTTGCTACTACAAAGGAGTCAGCATAGAGTAACTGTGTGTCGTTTTATACACATGGGGCTCCTTCTGTGGAATAAATTCCCAGGGGTGGGATTGCAGTCAGATGGTATGCCTATTTGCAGTTATTGTCAGTAAATACTGACACATTGCCTTCCATTGATGCTGTGTCAGTTTTCACTCCCAGTGACAAGGTAGAAGAATGAGGCTGTTAAGTAACCACTTTTGATGTTAGGAAATGTCTTCGGCAGTGTCTACACAGCAGGGGATCAGATGGGGCAGCAATAAACTCTCATGAACCCACACTAGTTTGTTAAGACTTAATCTGCTTGTAATCATTCAGTTAAGCAATATTAGTTTAAATTTAATAGACATAGTTCATTATGATACATTATGTATTATTATACAACTAGAGGCCTGGTGCACAAAATTCGAGCACAGGGGGTCCCTCAGCCTGGCCTGCACCCTCTCGCAATCTGAGACTGCTGGCTCCTAACCACTTGCCTGCCTGCCTGCCTGATTGCCCCTAACTGCCTCTGCCTGCCTGCCTGACTGCCCCTAACTGCCTCATGAACCCACACTAGTTTGTTAAGACTTAATCTGCTTGTAATCATTCAGTTAAGCAATATTAGTTTAAATTTAATAGAGATAGTTCATTATGATACATTATGGGCCCCGGCCCGGCACAAGGCCTGGTGCACAAAATTCGAGCACAGGGGGTCCCTCAGCCTGGCCTGCACCCTCTCGCAATCTGGGATATCCCTCTCGCAATCTGGGACTGCTGGCTCCTAACCACTTGCCTGCCTGCCTGCCTGATTGCCCCTAACTGCCTCTGCCTGCCTGCCTGACTGCCCCTAACTGCCTCTGCCTGCCTGATTGCCCCTAACCACCTCTGCCTCAGCCCCCGCCATGGCAGCTTTGTCCAGAAGGATGTCTGGAATGACATCTGGAAGGTCGTTCGGCTGTCTGGTCTAATTAGCATATTACTAATTTATTATTATAGATATGTATATACATCATATATTATACCATATATGCAATTATATAATGATCTTTACTTAATGTCTATATATTTAATTTAAGAGTATTCATATGCTTATTTATTCATTTTTTTACTTTTAAATGGGTAGATATAGTTTACATGTTATGATTAAAATACAAATCCCAGCGATTACATGATCCCTTTTGGACGAGACATGTGGATTGGGGTCTAGTTCGTCTTTGTTGGTGAAGATGTAGGGAGACGTAGTGCCTTCACTGTAGACACAGCAAGCATAACTGAGTGTGAGTTCTTATTGGGAACCCAAATGCTGTAGAAATTTAGACATGTTATCATTTGCTCCACAATAAGTCACCGTGTAGTGAATCATTCATTATATCTGCAGTGCCATATTAATTTCTTCTTATTTATCTGAGATTAATTTTAAATGAAATATTACCTGCTTTAATGGAAAACCCACATTTTTCTAATCTGCACTGAAACAAATGTTATTGTAAATCTTCTCAGGGACAACCAGTAATATGCATAACATACTTTGAGAAATACCAGGAAACTAAACTATGCATACCGAAAACTAAGATAATACTGTATACAACATATAGCTATATGTATATATGTAATGTGAAATATATAAATATAACATATGTATAAATATATTAAAAACTAATACATATATAACTAATATGCTACTACAAAAAACTAAATACCAGAAAACTAAAGCCATGCAAGCACGGTTTAAGTCCACTCTTTGGAGGAAAGATAAGTGGGTATTAGAACCCAGCTGCTTCTCCACCTTAAGCGTGTGGGCCTCACTAAAGCCAGAAGTGACTGGTGCCCACGGCTATGCACCCAGTTCCTGGGTTCTTTTGTTCCTGCGTTTCCCCTCGTAAGTCTTCTGGGTCTTCCCGTTTCAGGCTTCAAGGCCCTCTCCCGCACGCCAGTCGTCATCGCCTTGGTGGTCTTGATTTTGAGCGTGGTGGTACTTGTGGCCATCACACTCATCCAGATTCACCAGAAAGAGGTCCTCCTGCCCGGACTGAAGGTAAGCGTGAAGGGATCAGCACGGAAGGGGAGCAATGGGCTATGACATCACTTACTCTAAAGCCATGAGTTAGAAGAAAAGCATTCTCCCCGCCTCCGGCTGGAGCCTGGGAAGACAGTGTAAGACCCAAGGGAGAAGGTCGGACAGGCTGGGTTTGTGATGTTTGAGGCTCCGGTTTGATTGTGGTGACACCTTTCCCAAGGACCATGTGGTTTTTGCTTTGACTCCTGACTATTGGAAGCAAAGCTAGACTTTGTGGCCAGTGATAAATGACTACCAAAGATTTACCAACTTGTCCGTCTCCCAGAGCACACATCTCTCCCTGGTCATGAGTGGAGACCAGGAGACTCAGGCTCGTGATGTTTGAGGCTCCGGTTTGATTGTGGTGACACCTTTCCCAAGGACCATGTGGTTTTTGCTTTGACTCCTGACTATTGGAAGCAAAGCTAGACTTTGTGGCCAGTGATAAATGACTACCAAAGATTTACCAACTTGTCCGTCTCCCAGAGCACACATCTCTCCCTGGTCATGAGTGGAGACCAGGAGACTCAGGCTCCTCTGGCCTGGCCTGGAGGAACAAAAATTCAAGGACTTGAGAAGATCTCCTGGAACTGTATTTGGGCCTAGAAATGTGCCATGATCCCTCTAACTCTCCCCCCGGAAAAATCTCTCAGGCCCTTATGCTCTCTTCCAATAATCTCTGTTACACATACCCTCTTTTGTTTTCGTCTTCTTAACTCTTTAAAAATGTCAAAACCACCTGGCCGGTGTGGCTCAGTAGTTGAGCGTTGACCCATGTCCCCGGTTCAATCCCTGCTCAGGGCACATGCCTGGGTTGCAGGCTCAATCCCTGTTAGGGGGCATGCCGGAGGCTGCCAATCCATGTCTCTCTCTTGTCAATGTTTCTATCCCTCTCCCTTCCTCTCTCTCTAAAATCAATAAAAACATACTTTAAAAAAAAAACAGTTAAAAATGTAAAAACCCTTCTTAGCTGGAGAGACAAAGGGGCCAAGTTCAACTGTGTTATTTAACTTTCATTGATTGATTGATTGTTGAGAGAGAGAGAGAGAGAAACAGCAATTTGTTGTTCCACTTATTTATGCATCGTTGGTGTCTTCTTGTATGTACCTGGACCAGGGATCAGACCTGGGTGTATTGTGATGATGCTCAGACCAACTGAACTACCGACCAGGGCTATTTGATCCCCTTTAGCATTTACACGTGGCCCCACAAGTCCTTCTGCATCTTCCTACCGTTAGTGACTGGTCAATGGCTATATTTGAAGTAGAAGTTTTTAAAGATAAGAAACTACTATTGCCTTGGCTCGGGGTCAGCAGAGAGTGTAGACAGAGCATGGATGTGGGTCTGAACTGTCCCACCGCCTACAGTGAACCTACAGATGCACAGGGCTCCGCACTTCATGGAATTGCCAGGGGTGGGAAAAGGACAGGTGGATGGGGTGTGCAGGGCCAAAGCCTTCATCTGTAAAGTCACCCCTCAGGCCCTTCAAAAGTGAGGCGTGGGCTGTTTAAGGTGGTTGCCGGCTGCT